AAACCTAATAGCAATGGCCTCCAACCTACTAGCGATGGCCTCAAACCCAATAGCAATGGCCTCCAATCTACTAGCATCATAAATAATGGCCTCCAACCTACTAGCGATGGCCTCCTACTAGCGATGGCCTCCAACCTACTAGCAATGGCCTCCGACCTACTAGCAATGGCCTCCAACCTTACTAGCAACGACCTCCAACCGACTAGCGATGGCCTCCAACCTACTAGCAATGGCCTCCAACCTACTAACGATGGCCTCCAACCTACTAGCAACGACCTCCAACCTACTAGCGATGGCCTCCAACCTACTAGCGATGGCCTCCAACCTACTAGCAATGGCCTCCAACCTACTAGCGATGGCCTCCAACCTACTCGCAATGGCCTCCAACCGACTAGCGATGGCCTCCAACCAACTAGCGATGGCCTCCAACCTACTAGTGATGGCCTCCAACCTACTAGCGATGGCCTCCAACCGACTAGCGATGGCGTCCAACCTACTAGCGATGGCCTCCAACCTACTAGCGATGGCCTCCAACCTACTAGCGATGGCCTCCAACCTACTAGCGATGGCCTCCAACCTACTAGCGATGGCCTCCAACCTACTAGCGACGCCTCCCACCTAATAGCAATGGCCTCCAACCTAATAGCGATGGCCTCCAACCTACTAGCGATGGCCTCCCACCTACTATAGCGATGGCCTCCCACCTAATAGCAATGGCCTCCAACCTAACAGTGATGGCCTCCCACCTAATAGCAATGGCCTCCAACCTAATAGCGATGGCCTCCAACCTACTAGCGATGGCCTCCAACCTACTAGCGATGGCCTCCAACCTACTAGCAATGGCCTTCACGGATGGCCTCCAACCATGTGAGATGCCTACACAAGCAAGTTCGGCGACAGCTTCAGACCCACCTGGAAGTCCTCCTCAAATTGCATCGCGTCTTGCTCTCGGCGTTCATTTTCACGCTCAATGCGAAGCTCTTCGGCAATTCTCGCCTAAAACAAGACAGAAAACACCGGGCTAGGCGCCCGCCCCAACCCGTCGCGTCCTTGTGTCATGCCAGGAGCAATGGCAAATCCCATATTCCCTGTATGTGGCTCTCCTCTATTCAACAACCAACGGTGAATGTTTTCGAATTCTTTTTGGCCAATGTCTTTCCTCGGGATATTCTTGAACACTATTTTCCCCGCAAAGACCATACAACTGAACTTCATGCCATCTATGGAAGCTTTCCTGTTTATGTCTACTGGCACAACTGCTTTTGCATGCCGCAGCTGAATTGACAGTGTCAAATGTTCCCCAGCCTTGTTCCAGTCAACGAGACGTCTGTGACCATGTTTGCAGAGCTTCCTCTCTTTCAACCCCAAGCGCTGATCAGGCCAAGCATCAAGCAGAAGTTCCTCGAAGCGAATGTGAAGGATTGATGGATACTCATTCACAGCAATACCCTTTGGAAAATGAGGGAACAACGAGTCGATTTAAATTCATGGTAATAATACCTCAATACCAATGCAATGCCATGCAATACCATTGTAAAAATGCGAGTATCTCCAGGTCCCACAAAACAATGGATGCCGTATATGAAGATTTGTGGGTTTGATTCCCCACAGTAGGCTTTGATATGCTTTGATTCAGTCTCACGACTCTCACGACTGTCGGCCCTCGGCTCCCCCTCGATCTGATGAGGCTCTGGAATGTTGTTCTCAATCAGCGACATCTTTAAGGTCTCGTCCCAGGAGAGCTCTAGTAAAATCCGCAGCGCTGGTGATCGCACACTAGGAAGCTCTGTTCTTGCTGCTGCTGCCATAATGCTGTCTTTCATCGTAGCTCTTTCAGCTGCTTCCTGCATCATTGATAATGGTAGCCAGGTAGACAACGCCAGATTCAAAGCAATTGGTTTACCACGGTTTACCTCTTCAGGGTGTCCTAATTCCAAACAACGAATCTACCCTGGCTTCCTGCTCTTCAGCCGATTTCTTGGATGTCGCAGAAGCATCACTTCCTTTCCGCTCTCGCCGCCCTGATGCGTCACTGGACGTACTCCGCGGACGTCTGGCACCCAGATCCACCTCATGGCCTTTCGACATCTCCGTGTCCTGGCCATCTCCGTGGCCAGTGCGCAACATGCGAATCCAAAGCAATTGGCTTTGGGTCTCAAGACTGCCACGAATGTTTGCCACAAGGCCAAAAGCAAAGACACGCCATGATTCAACACATGATTCACATCATGATGAACATCATGGAAAAACCCTCCCAGGTCCTCTGAAACGGAAGCTGTTGAAACGTAATTCCAGACAGACGGCCGCTTCTGTGGATCCCTCACGATGCCTGGCGGGGAAAATGGCACCCGGAGAGCTCGTCCTGGGTTTCACCGGTGGGGCCTGGTTGAACATGGTTGGTTACTCCCCCAGATCCCAGTAGTGTTCACTTGACCCGGGGTCAACCAGGCTCAAACTGGGTTTGGACCCACAGCCATACAAGTTTGATCGCGTTTGGATGCTTGGAAAGTATGTTCTTGCAAAGGAGCCTGCTAGGACAGCCAGAGCTCTTCCACGAATGCGTGCTGGCTGAGATCGAAGTGTGTTTGCAAAAATGTCTTCTCGAACACGTTCACCTTGGGGATCGTCCTCGTCATCAACATCTCCCCAAAGGAAGTGAGCAGTTGTCTGCTGATTTGCCAGAGCACTCAGCAAACCAAGGCCACTCTCACGGACGTCAAGGTCTTCTTCCTGCTGGAGGCTTTGTAGAAGCGACTCCCAGATCTTGTCGTTTCCGAAGAAAAGCTCGGGGCTGTCGCATACCGTCGAGACACTCCAAAGCGCACGGAACACGAGCAATCGCTGCGCGTTGTCTCGATTTCTGGCAGCAGCTTTTCCAAGCACATCTCTCAGGTCCTCACTGATTTCTTGACAGTCTTGGAAGGCTGGAATAGCCAAAGCCACCAAAGCGAGGAGCGCTTTTTCCTGCACTTCTTGGGGCTGGCCCTCTGACTGAAGTTGAGAGAGACTCAGCCGAACCTGCAATGTGTGCTGGTGCTTAAGTGCATCAAACAGCATAAAGGAGAAAAAGGGCGTGTGGTGAATCTACATGGAGATTGCCCCATGGCGAAGTTGCTGTCAACATGTGCTGCAGCACGCTGACATCATATGTCAGATGTGCCTTAAGTAGGATCTGCTTCTGTATATGCTTCTTTGCAATCAATCACTGAAATAAGTAACTCATCACATTTGATCCTGGAACCGCATGTCATTCCATTCTTTTGGCAGCCCAGAAAAGGAGTGTAACACAATTGCTAAGGGCAGCGTGCCCGTGCCTGCTCGTTCTTGAGGAGCTCGGAGCAGTTCTTGCGGGATGTTGTCAGGTGAACCAGCACCCCAAGGGAGAGCACCCTTGCAAGCTCCGGTTGCGTTTCGTCGAGGCCCGCGAGCAAAATCTCTCGAACCTGGCAGTTCCGGACGCTACGAACGGAGCAAGGACGCTACTAGGCTACGTCCCACGTTCAGAGTATGCTTTAAAAAAGGGTGGAAAACACTGGCCTCTGAATCTTGCCACAAGACTTCCCGCAAACTCGAAGATGCGACATCTCGCAGCTTCAGCAACGCAAGCTTTCGATCAACGGTTGGCTGCGGCTTTTCTTCTTTCTTTTTCTTGCTGCCTCAGACCAGAACAAACTCATTCTCGAGTCTCGAGTGAAATCCCTTTTAAAAAAGCACGGCTCCGGCCTCTAACGGGTTCGGGTGGCGGTGTTGAGCGAAGGGCAGTCAATAGTTGGCTGCGCTCTTCTTCATTGCGCACCCAGGCTGGCATGAAGCATTACAGGGCTCTCTTCATATTGTCCCATACATCGTCTTATAGAAGTCTGGCACACAGCCCAGAAGAGGTGAATAATTAGGCTGCAGGCTGAAGATGGCTGAAGATGGCTGGGAATATCTAGGTGTTTTTTCCTCATGCGATGGCATTTAAGTCAGCTTTGTGGAATGGTGCGACCATATTGACTGTTTATCATGGGTGAAGAAGAAGAAGAAGAAAGTCCAGACTCTTGCAAGCCCAAAGAAATGATGGAAATGCAAATACAATAATATGGTGCCGGTGCTGATTGATGCAAAACCATGCAGGTCGCGTCTTGGAGTGAAACAGCGACCTCAGGGACAAAGTATATGTCCAACAGGTTGCCATGTCAAATGTTTAGGTCATTCTCTCGCAGCTGCACAGATATTTCGAGCGGGCATTCTACGATGTCGGGTGCTTCTAGATCATCGATTGATGATGCTCTCGAAAGACTTGCCAGCAAACTGTTTCGTGTGCACAAGTCAACACCATGAGACCATGAGCATCAACAATCGTTTCTCTTCACACCAATAATGAAGGACACTGATTCTCACAGCTACGGTAGAATCAGGGTGTCCTCCACAGGCTCTCTTTGCAGCGCCAAAGCAAACTGCCCGCAAGCAACGTCTCCAAAAAAATAAAACATCAAAACAAACCGTGCATGCATTAAAGACCGTGCAGCAACAAAAAAGATAAAACCATATCTGTCCAAAATGGTCTGTTCGGCCGAAACAACCATAAAGAAGGGCATTTTTGCGGAATGAAAAGAACTGAACAGAATTTCAGGGAGGAGTTGCTGGAGGAATGAAAAGACTACTGGCCCAACATACTCTGGCCCGAATGAAAACACAGCTTCTCCCTCTCCTCGACGTTAGCGGAGGCTGAAAGCTGAATCACCGGAGTCTGCTGGATCCACCTGCTCGTCCGACAGGTCGGGTGCAGTGGAGCGAATGGAGTCGGTCGCTTCACGGCGACCGCTGTGAACAGCTGAATTGGTGGTTTTTTGTTTGGAAACGAAGCAATGACCTGGCCGACCTGGGCCACCTGGGGGTGGCCTCTTTCTTCCTGTGTTTCTTCATGGTTCATCATTGTTCCTCTTTCTTCCTGTGTTTCGTCGTCCTTTGTCGGCTCACAGAGCACCATGTCGTGCGCCTGTACTTTCTGCGCAGATTCTGCAAGATGCTGTCCATGGCCTCCAACGCTCAAAGCGTCCAAAGCTTTGGAGAGAAAGAATGAACCTAGTCGAGGGGGTCTGGGTGTTAAGTCGAATTCTTTTGCAACTGTTTTTTGCTTCACTTGCTTGTTCGTCCACCTTGCTGTGCTGCGCGAGAGATACACTGAAATGACAAGCTGCAACTGCCTGACAAATCGAATCGACAAGAGAGGCTTGTCGACTCGGCAGGGCAGCTTCAGCATGAAAACCGGCCATGAGACCAGGGCTGCATCCAATGCTTGGAAACGTGCCTTCACAAAGGCCCAGGTCCCTGCACCTTGCACGGACCTGCCATGCCGACTTGAAGACGAGTCGACGAAACAGACGAAACAGACGGCCGACCAAAACAGCCCCAACAGCCGACCTAGACCTATATCTGATCCTATCTGTGTGTGGGTCGCACCGGGATGCACCAAAAATGCACCGAAAATGAACAGAAGGTCGTTTCCTCCAGGTCCACCTTTTAGGGTTTGGAGCTCGCCAGGTGCGACCCACAGCCATCGGCTGTTCCCACGCGGCTCGTTCCCAAACGAAAAGCGCATGACAGGGAGGCCCTTCAATCGGCAGCTCGTAACAAACCTGGAATGTGTTTCAGCCGCGTTCAGGAGCTTTGGCAACTTAAAGGGTTTTAAGAACAAAGATCATGTGAGCTTGATCACCTGTGTTTTTGATGCAAACCTTCACAAAGTCCAAACACTGTGACTCCGTTCAGCCCCAACCAAAGCCAATTTCCTAGCGGCCTAGCTTCCTAGCTTCACATGCGAACGCCTCGCCTGGTCATTCTGACACATGGCAAAGCTGTAGCATTTGCAAGATGGACCACCACGTGAAACACTCCCATGATGTTGAGTGGCCTGGGCACGGATAGGCTGAATCATGTTTTTTACTAGCGGCATCAAAAGATTTCATCATCTTAAGCAGCTCACATCCAGAGCCGAAGGTTGCGGCAATGCCGGGGCCTTGCCGCTCTGCTCTTTCAACACATGTTTTTTGTCAGTCCGACCAACCAGAAAACGAATCAGATCTGTACTGCTTCTACCTGTCCTGCCTCTTGATAGGTGGGAGATTTCATGGATTGTGGTGAAGCAACGTGTGTGGAAGACTTGCTGGGCGAGCTGGTGGGTGACGTCGAAGGCCTGGAGCGGTGGGTCATGGCACCGTGGATCAACGAAGATGAACAGATTATAACAGGTTCCTTTTCAGACAGAGACCGCAAGTCGCGCTATCACAGGTTCCTTTATGTTCGGGAGGTGGAAGTGTTTCTTTGTTCGGGAGGGGAGGTGGCAGTGTTTCTTTGTTCGGGAGGTGGAAGTGTTTCTTTTTGGCCCTTCCCGGACCGGGATGTTTGACTATGGGTATGCTTCGGAGGTATGCTACGGAGGTATGTGTCGTGCGGTGCGAAGACTAAAGCAGTAGCATGTTCTGAGGGTATGCTTCGCGGTATGCTTCGCCTAAGTCGAACATCCCAACATATCCCAACTCGTCTACATAAACTGGACCGGTATATATTTTATAGAAAATACAAACCCCATGTCAACCTTCCATGTTTTGGCGGAAGAGGTCTTGACCCACAGCCGCTCCAAGAAGCATACAACCAGCATACATCTGCGATTAGCGCCTCAAACTTTGTCCACCAGGTAAGGGTGGAAGATTCAGCCTAGAAGTTGAGAAGGACATCCCAAACTTCCCAATGCATCTAAAATTCAAGCCTTTTGTTGGGCAAGTGCCTTTCAAAAGGAAAGCCTTTGAAATAAGCTTTTCACAGCCGCATGCTGGCGCTGTGGTTCTTTGGCATCGCCTCGCTCGGTTCAGCCGGTTCAGTCCAAAAACCGTTCAACCGCCCAGTGAGTTCAACCGGAGCAGCCTGGATTCGCGGAGCAAGCCTCTTGAACAGTGGCGGCCTCGGAGAAAAAATAAAGCGCATGTAGCAGCATGTATCAGCGAGGACATACAGCGAGCATCATACAGCAGTGACGATTTTGTCATGGTCCAAGCTTAGGTGGCAGATTCTTGGTGTCTAGAATTCCAAATCAAACTCGCCAAGATCTGAGATCCGTGCCCTGGACCACCCGAAGCTCGAGCTTCCGAAGGGCGTAGGAGTGGCACAACGGAACTTTGGCAGCAGTCCAGTAGCAGCGTCACCTCAAGAGGTGACGTCACATGTGTTCGCAGCGAAACAAAAACGATTTCACCACACTTCTACAGCCATTTTTCTGGCCGAAGATCTTTCGCGAATTGGACCCTTCTGAAACGCGCCCACCTTGCACTTGGGAGGCAGGGAATGGAGAGCTGAGGTGATGAGAGACATGGGCACAAGACCTCACTCCGAACGTCCGAGCCACCGTGCTGTTCACTCCGAACGACTGTGGCGCAGCACTCGAGGTTTCATGGCGAGCGATGCTCCGAGTGTCCTGCGGTAGCCACCAGAGTGAACTGCCCGCCGCAGTGACTCGGAGGACAGCCCCGGCGAGTCCTGGGGATTCTGTGTGACTCCCAAAAAGTTGAGACATCGGAACGCCGCTCAAAACCGGATCTGAGGAATCGGAGGTGTTTTCAAAGCGAAGAAAGGATGGCCAACGATGGCGTTCACTTCTCACTCACCAACTTCTCACTGGGTCCCAGGCCAAAGAAACTGCATCTTGGAGTTCATGCAGGACGTCCTCACCAAACAAGGCCCGTCCGATGCGCTGGACGGAGGTTTCTCCGCCGATCCGTCACGACGAAACCGGGGACGGATGCCAAATCGGATCCACCGAAGGAAAGGGGACCATCACGCAGCGGGCACGCAGAGGGGACAATCGGTGACCAAAGCAGGGTTCGTTGAAACTGTCATGTGAATGAGCATCAATGGTCACTTCTCTCCTCCGGAAGATCTTCAGCAAAGTCCATGGGAACCAGGTGCCCCTGCGCGGCGGCATACCGCGGCATGCGAGAGAGGCGCCCAAAAACGGACGGCATGCGACGGCTGGCGGCATACGGCATTCGGAAAGGGCATGCTTCACAATGCAAAACACATCAAAACACGCCAGGGGTGTCACAAACAGACCTTCACTGGGCAGTTGGATGGGTTCTTACCTTCTCGAAAGGACGTCACAACTAGGGTTTATAATATACGAGTATATATGACTGATGGAACACGTTCCTTTCCTCGTAGAGGCCGTCAATCTCTGAAACTGGCTGTTGAGCTCCGTATCCGCTGAAGTACAAGAGTATGTTGTCCTCAAATCAAGGCTTTGCTTAGGTCATCATAGATCAACACCGTAGAGAAAGTGGATATTCTGGAGATGATCTGTCCGGCAAACTGAGGTGGGAACCCCTGGTTTTGCATTTCCTGTGAGCCACTGTAGTTCAGCGATGATGTTCTCCCTGCAAGAACCAGTCATTTAGATCCTTATCTTATATATAGATAGAACGAATGTAAAATGTTCAAGGAGCCACTGATCCATGCAGCACAGTGAGCCACTGCTTTCCAAGGTCAGTCGGCACAAAAGACCGCACCTGGTTGGAAGCCGTTTTGGAGGGGATGCAGTTGAGCCCGAGAAGTCAATCAAAGACCGAACCTGCCGTCGTTGGTCTCTGCAGGACGCAGCACGGACGCAACGACGCTCTCCTGGCTCTCAGGATACTGCAGCGACCTTGGACGCGACAAGCACCGGACTGCCCTCAGGAACCGAAGACCAGTTTCATACCTCTATCCTTTAAGAAAATCCAAGTATGTTCTCTTTTTCGACAGGTTCTGTAACAGTTCTGTACTGTGTCTTCTTGGAACGCGACTTTCAGTGGACGTGTCAGGTGGCTAGGGAAGTGGCTGTCGCAGCAAGCAGTTCATGTTCCAAGCATCATTTGCACATCCTTTAAGAGCTGCAAAGGAGTTGCAGTAGTTGCAGCCTGAAAGAAGTGGGTCACAACGCGCTACTCTTTCACATTGCGCTGATGGAGACACATTGTAGCAGAGTACACCCAACGTGTTTCGATGTGCGTTAGAGGACTCGCTGGCCGACCTATCACCAGGGCTCGCCGCTGTGCAATGTCCATCCCTGACCTCAGAAAGTGGGGAGCCAAAGCACGAGAACAAAACATAGACAGCTTTCATGAGTTTCTTGGACGAACAGTTCTAGACAACCAAACATCCAGTCTCTTGGCTTCCTCAGCCTATGCCAGTTACCCCCGCAAGGCGAAACAAGAATTTGTCGACTGCCGAGCTGCAGGGTTGGCCCAAGGAAGAGGGAGCCATGCAGAGCCGGTGGCACAGACCGAATGTTGCCTGGAATCTCCTGAAGAATCCCGTCTGGGCCCGGAAAGGGGAGCTTTTGGATGCTTTGGGCGTTTCTGGGATGGCAAAAGCAGTGGTACTGAACAGAGTTCTATTGCATCAGATTGAAACGGTTTTGATTGACATGTTTTGAATGTAAGGCCCTTGAGGCCAGCAGGCTATGATGTGATGGCAATTCTTCGGGGAAAAGCCCCTCGATTGGGACTTGACGTCTACTTCACGTTTTTAGCTGTCCCTCTTCTGATATGCATCTTAAGCTGCATTCACTTGCATTGAAACTCTAGTCTCCTAGTGTCTAGACTGTTGCGTGTGATGGACATGCTGCAAGTTGGGGCACACTGTTGCTACTCGGTGACTTGGGCTGTTTTAGTGCTCACACGAAGAAACATCTGTCACGTCGCGGCGTACCCGCTGTGCACAGAGGCCTCTGGCTGCAATTGCTGTTCGAACTCTTTCAACTTCCTTTCCTTCGCAGCGAGTTGCTCCTGCAATGGCCACGCGGCCGCGCTCGCGGCCGCGCTCGCGGCCGCGCTCGCGGCCACGGCGCACGCTGCACAGAGAAGGACGGCAACGGAGGCGACCTCCAATGCGTTGGCCTTTTGTCGTAGCAGCTCTTCAGCTGCCTCCGCCCATGAACGATTTCACAACAAGGGACTGTTTCAAAAAGAGAGTGAATGGGGGCGCCTGTTGGTGACTGCTTGCATTGGTGACTGCTGCGTGGTCTGGCTGAGCTTCACTGGCCTCAGTCTGACGCTGCGGAAGGAAAATCTCACAAGAACGTGAAAGAAACAACAGTGATAAGAAGTGCCTGTCGAGTGAAACGAAACATGTCCGAAGATTCCGTAGACAGTTAGACTTGAGGAGACTGCAGCTTGCTTCCAATGCTCCAGTTCATCCTCCCACAAGACCCACAGACCCAGGTTCGAGGACAAAGGAATGTAATTATGTCACAAGTCTGGGATCGTCTGATCATTCTGGCGGCACCTTGTAAGACTGAACTTGGGCAGCTACTCTCAAGCGGAGCACCTGCCAGAACTCAACGGAGGTTGATGGGATGTGCTTTGTCAACGGCAGAGCTTCGCCCGTGGACTTTGCGAATCTGTCAACGAGACTGGGCGAAAGTGCACGTCGGCCATACCATACCACGAAAGCTAGTCGTTGCTAGCATGTCTCTCCGGAGCGTTTCAAGCCCTCCCGAAGCCTTTCAAGACCCATTTTTGTATATAACCGGATGCCATCGCTATTAGGTTGGGGGCCATCGCTAGTAGGTTGGAGGCCATCGCTAGTGGATGCCATCGCTATTAGGTTGGAGGCCATTGCTAGTAGGTTGGAGGCCATCGCTAGTATAGGTTGGAGGCCATCGCTAGTGGATGCCATCGCTATTAGGTTGGGGGCCATCACTAGTAGGTTGGAGGCCATCGCTAGTAGGTTGGAGGCCATCGCTATTAGGTTGGAGGCCATCGCTAGTAGGTTGGAGGCCATGGCTATTGGGTTGGAGGCCATCACTATTAGGTTGGAGGCCATCACTAGTGGGTTGGAGGCCATCGCTAGTAGGTTGGAGGCCATCGCGATTAGGTTGGAGGCCATCGCGATTAAGTTGGAGGCCATCGCGATCAGGTTGGAGGCCATCGCTATTGGGTTGGAGGCCATCCCTATTGGGTTGGAGGCCATCGCTATTGGGTTGGAGGCCATCGCTACTAGTAACAAGTTGTTTTCACGCTGAAAACGGACGCCTCTTTGGCCCACTGCTGGAGAAGGTGTCGGTCGAAATTGCTGGAGGCCTGCTGCAAAAGCCCGTACTCCTAGCGGCGCCGCTGGCAAAGTGGCGAAAGCGCAATGTGTGTTTGAGGTGTCTTTCAAGGCCATTCCAGTGAACACATGTTCGTTCGGCCATGCCCATTCGTTTAACACAGGCAAAGGAAAACGCGGTGTGTTCAAAGCTCCTTGAGCAAGTACTCCTTTCGGTTCTCAGCCTCTTTGGGCCGATCGTTCGCCCGCGACTCGTCCGGCAGAGTGCTGGTGCCCAAGGGCTGAAGTCATCCGCCCATTTCGCCGTTTTCGTGTTATGTCGTTCGATCTTCGTTCGGGTCCCTCAAAGAGTTGGCCATAGGTGCCAAACTGCTAGACACATCACCTGAAGGGTACGCGGTTCATCTTTTCGCCCGGTGCCTTCCCATCTGCATAGCAAAGAAAGAACATGTTGGGATCCATTTCTCAGTGGACTCATGTGGGCTCCACCCACACAAATCAAGTGTTTTCGTGCACGTTTTGAGGGAGAGAAATCTGTGCCCTGCGGCCCACTGTGGCCCTGCACTGTGGCCCTGCCTCATGAAGGCCAAGGGTCAGGAGTTCAGACTCATCATCAAAGGTTCGGATGTCCTGTTGGACAACAAGTGATTTACCATGCAGACGTCGGCAACACCTTGCAGTGTAACCGGGACCCAGGGCCCAAAGACCAAATAGTACGAGTCATGGAAAAGTGAGTGAAAACCCAGAAGCGTTGGTCTCCTGACTTCCACGCACCCAAATCAACATGGTTTGCAAGTCAGGATCTCCTCTTCCAGTTCCTGCAACTTGGAATAGTGCTCGTTGCCCTTGCTCACCTGTAAGGCATTCTTCAACTAGCCTCTGCTAAAAGCGCCCTCCCAGAATCAGCACCTCTCGGGCGGCCTGACTCTTCATGTCTTGCATCGCTATCCGGTATTCTTCCTGCGAATTCGTTTTTTGCGAAACAAACGGAACCGGAGTCTGGAGTTCCGGTTCCGTCTTGAGCCGATGACTCGCCTGAAGGCTTCTTTGCTGCTGCTCCAAAGCCTCGGGGAGGACGAAGGAATGCGAACATGGCCAGCACATCGAGTTGAGAAGTGTTCGAGCATTCTTTTCATCCCAAAAATGCACTTGCTATACGTCTCAAGATGCCATTTGATGCCAGACATGCCACTGAAAAGCTCTGGCCTGCACATTCTTCTCCGCTTCATTGCTTTCTTCCGTTGCCTCCGACATGCGTGAGCAGCGGAGCTACAGCGGAGCTACAACCTACAGCTGTCATTCCATCGACTGAAGGCCAGTTCGTCACAGTCGGCCGAACATGTCCGGATTCAATAGGTGATTCTCTGCTTTTCTACCGATCCTCCTGAAGGGATGCCGCCCGATGCGTCAGCAGCTCCTCAGAATCATGTGCCATGTGGCACTGTTGACGCACTGAGAGAAGCGGAGTCGTTATCATCCATCATCATTATCACTGCTACGATACAGCCTGATATGTGTTGACCTGTTCAACTGATTCATGTGAAGCACTTGTCACTTGATTGTGACAACAAAGGCCTTGAGCAATTTGGTCTTTTTCTCTGAGTCCTACAGCCAGCGCATGGCATGGCTGACGCGTGATACTGAGTCTGACCAGCAAAGTATCTGAAGTGTCAAGTGCCTTCTGAAGGAGCACGCGGCCGGTCTGAAATATCTCACTCGCTTTTCTGTGACATCTGACAAATGTTGGTTAGGTCCTTCCCATCTTCCATCACCGCTGGACCTGACTTGGGCTCAAAAGTATTCCAAGGGGCCAAGCAAAACGTGAGCTTCTGAAATTGACAACATTTGACAACCTGCTTTTGGCCGTCCAAGAATGCTGCCATTGTCTGCTCTCGCCAGCTGCGCCTATTTCAGGTCTTTTCGGATCATCAACTTGCTAATATACCGTATACATCCGTATACCCCCTCAGAACTCTTGTCTCAAGTCCAGAGTCCTTTTTGGGTGATGCCGCCGTTTTTTCGGAAGGAGCCCAAGAGGCGCTCGCTGGCCTGAGCATGATCTTCGAGGCGCTGGCGCAACCGGCCGGCTTCGGCTCGGTGCGATTCCAGGACCTCCGCACCGCGCCACGCACTGCGCGGAGCGCGCGTGGAGAAAGCAGACGGTCCAATCGCTTGGCTCTCTCGCGTCCGCCAGGGCTGTGGGGTTCACCGCTGTTTGCCAACGGACCGGCTTTAGGTCGTGAGCCCGGGCAATGGTGGATTAGACCGGTTGAACGACCTATCCCCAGAGCATTACTCCAGACCTTCGTTGCACAACCCAAATCTAGCTTCGTCAATGCTTCGTCCAAAATAAAAAATGGGGGCTTGGAAGGGATTCATACAATGCGCGACGAACATCGGCAGCATTTGTCGAGGGATGCGGGCGAATCTTCTTTTCGATGACTCCTTGAGGTGCCATGCGTTTGAAAGATGTCGAGAGTCAGATGGGATGGGTCACAACCTGGGCCAACATCATGTAGCTTGACTTCCCTACGGCCCTACGGTAGGTCTACTTGACCCGGCGGTGGTTTTGACCCAGGTCGCCAGATCGCCCAGCTCTTGCCTTGAGGTCTGCAGAGAATCTCTCCTGCAGCAAAGATGGTGAGGAGTCGACCTCTGGATAGGCTGAGAAGCTGATGCAAAGCATTTGATGAATACAAGCAAACAAGATAAAAACAAGGCGCGTTTTTTCCTTTAAAGGGGTCTTAACGGGTCTTACCTTCCTTCTCTACCTTCTTTCATCTCTTTTTGCATTCTTCTCTTCATCACGATCGGTGTCCTTCTTGTGGCTCAGCTCTTTGTCAATCTGTGACAACCTTGCTTCCAGAGATGTGGCGCATTCCTGCAAACCCCGGGGCCCGTCGTCCGGGCGCCGTCGCCCAGGTCCCAGTCGTCCGTCCGGACGTCGGACCGGACGCGTCGGAAAGAACATCCGTCCTGAACTGCCAGATCTTTGGTGGCATCATCGATCTTCTTTACCGTGGCTGCCTGCACCTGGACAGCACCCGTGGCGCCACGGAAACCGGCCAGGGCTGGGTGTGGGTCAGCCCTACACGGTCAGGTGGACTCTGGGAGAAGTCCGAATGGCTCTGGAGCAAAGCCAGGTTGACATTATGTTAGGGCTCCAGGTTTTACCGAACCCATGCAACCTTGTATCGTTATTGTGAGGTGTTGTCCCACACCCATTTCTCACATGTCCGGGACGTGATTTTCCACTGGAACTCGTACGGAACTGTAAAGTGCCAAACAAGTACAAAAGCACAGTCTCAAAAATCTTGCCTCTTCAAACTCCGCTCGCAGCTCTGCTAGTCGCTCCTGTAAACATATTATTGAGAACAAATATAATGTCAGCAAAAGTCTCACTGACAATGCTTGACCCAAAGCAGGCCGCCTTCTCGACCATACATGCAGCAGCCACTGCCTGGTGAGAAAGTCCGCAGAAGATCATTTGTTTTCAAAAAGCTGAAAAGCGGACCTCCTGCTTGATGGCCATCTCTGCTCGATGCACACGCAGTTCGCTCACCTGCTCTTCAACCTGTGTTGGACATTGGGTTGTTGAAATCATTGCAGGCTCCAAACTCGGAACCGCTGCTTTTTTTGTCTGGTAGACTCTTCGCTATTTTTGGAGAGGGCAAATGGGTGTGGATCATATACTTTGGTTGACCTACCGACGTCACGGTCGTTCGCTACATGGTGGACCCGGGGCTCCAGGTGGTCCAACTCATGTAAATCAGGGTCCCCACATTTGGACCCACAGCCACTTTCACTTCGCTGCGAGGTGCCTTCAGCTCTTGGTCTTTGGCTGTGGCCGATTGCCCTCGTCGAGCCTGATCAGGCAAACCTCTGCCTCTCTCTCGGCCATGAACCAACAAATCAAGGAATGACATGCCGAACTGTGGGAGTGTATCCTTCTAAGCTGGTTCGCGAGCGTTGTTTTGCTAAGGGGTATCCTTTCGCGACCCCGCAGGAAAAAAGGTAAAAAGATCTTTTTAAAAAAAATGATTTTTTACCGTTTTTACCGCCGATATGGTAGAAGAAAAAGGAGCGCCCCCCCGGTAAAAACGGTAAAAAAATAGTTTTTTGACTTTTGAGTTTTTACCGCGGATATGGTAGAAGAAAAAGGAGCGCCCCCCCGGTAAAAACGGTACAAAAAGAAAATTTTTCGATGTTTACCGTTTTTACCGCAGATATGGTAGAGAAAAAGGGGCGCCCCCCGGTAAAAACGGGAAAAAAATAATTACTGTTTTTACCGCGGATATGAAATTTAAACATGGAGCGCCCCCCAGTAAAAAAAGACCAAAAACAAAGATTTTTACCGTTTTTGCCACGGAGATGGTAGAAAAGAAAAGGACAAGTCCACCTACAAAAACGGAGAATAACACAACTTTGATGTTTAACGATATGGTCAGGGTTGAGGTCAGTAGCAAAGATTAGCTAAAAGCATGCGGGAACAACTCGGTTGCTTTGCCCTAATATCCGCGCACCACCACTCTTTTTCACACTGTTTGCGTTGAATGTCGGTCGTGGCTTGGCCTGGCGCAAGGTTTGTGATCCAAGTGAAATGAACTTGAGAAAGGAGGGGGTGAACGAAAGGTAGCAGGCAATCACAAGCAACCCTGGTAAAAGTCCACGACGGCGTGAACTGGCGCAGGGGGGATTTGATCCAGGGTGGGGGCCCCCTCCCCCCGGTGAACAGAATCAACTCTTACAGGACCAAATTCAATGCACAATCCAAACTCCTGATTGTAATACATCTTGCTAAAGCAAGGAGAACTCAAGTAGCTCAAGCTACCTTTCGTGATTTGTAATGATCCATGCTTACACTAAAATGAAGAATAAGAAAGCACATCTTTGGTATGAAGTCTTCGCCGAACAAAAGCTTCCTCCATCAGAAAAATCGTATTACAAACCTCTTTTTTGACAACCTACTCTGCGCTGAAAGCAAACGCCATTTTTCGGACATCAGCCAGCAAAGATCGTGTCTCTTTCCTTTCTCCAAAGCTGCCCTTCTGAGCTTTCCAGCCATTCTGCCAAAGCAGCCTTCTTGGAAGAAGGCGCCGAATTGCGCATTTTTTTGTTTTGACAATCGTACAGTCATTGGTGGTGGCTCAAGAATTTCTTTACCGACATATGGCTTCAATGCTTCAGAAATGGTGCTTGGCAAATCCACAGGGAGAGAATCATGCAGGCTCCGTCTCCGAGATTCGCGGATGTCCCGGGTCTTCAAACAGGAAGAGCCAACCCACTCGTCTGGAATAGCAACTTCCAGAATATCCTCCATCGAGGCGTGGCCAAACAATCCATCATAGCACCGCCCCGCTTCTTGGGCAGCCACACGCATGGCCTGGATTTGTTGTACTGGCAGAGCTCTCTGGTTGCTAGACACCCGAATTTTAGCTTTCTCAAGAATCTGGCACACAATTTTGACGAGCAAGCGGTCTCGAGGAGATCCAAAGATGCAAGATACGCGAGCTTGCCTGGTAGGCAGAACAGACTGCGATATGTGGGCGCCTCTCTCTCTCTCTCTCTCTCTCTCTCTCTGTTTGTGTGTCTGCGGGCCGAGTGTGCGTGGAGGAGTATGTTCCCTACAAAAAGGAAAACCACGTTAATGGAAAAGTACTTAAACCTTCTCAGATGCTTCAGAAGGGCTTGGTCGATCAAAGGTTGAGGTGCATAATTTTGAGATGGGTTCCATGCTCCGTGCAACAAGCTTCCAACATGCTCGCATGGTTGTTCGGGAGGATCGAGCAAGCGGCAATGATGATGAATTCGAGCAGCGTGCCACCCAATTTCTTTACTGCGATACTTCCCCACAGTGTTGTGCCCCATGGCAAAAAAACGGTGTTTATCCAGCGCGAGCGACACGGCCTGATGGTTGATTGCAAACTGTACTTCAACGACAAGAACGAGCTTGCGAGGTCGACCAGCATTGTTTGCCAGCGAAAGAATACTTCCCACAGAGATTGCTCGAGGGTCGTGCAGCACACGCTTTCTTCGGCGGAGATTGGTGCGACAGGTTGCCTCCACACAAAAATGTTGGAAGGACACCGTTCTCTTTATGTTCTTTATATAAATTATTGCAAAATAGACAAAACTACATTGGATCCGGCAAGACACAGGGAACAAAGAAGTGGCACTCACACTTAGCTCAGGTTGACTGGGAAAATCAAGGCTGCCGAATTTGCCCAGGAAAGCGGACACCAGCGTAGCAGTTC